TCGAATATATATAAATATATAAAATATCTTCTTTAACTCTCCTTCCTTTCTTTGTTGCTCTCTGGCTACTGGCTAGCACTAGCAGTGACACATCTTACATCTTATCTTCGATAACTGCATGACCTATTTGTGTTACAAGTGCCGTAAAACTCTTGACTAACTACAACTAAACTAAGTCTCAACCTTCACAACAACCCCTGAATCAGGAGGCAACTATTCGACCCTTGTGCTACGTACAACCAGAGAGGGTTGGTACAACATTCTGTCCGGCTGATTCAGTGAATCACCTTTCGATAGGACTGGGCAATGAGTCGCTTAAGCAAAATCCGGATAATATGTTACTGCACCTCTTCGGTAAATAATAATATGTCATGAACCGGTTCGGAAAATGGGTTAGAGCCACTTTGACTAACGGGTTAGCATCACTTCAACAAATGGGTGGACCCACTTCGGCAAACGGGTCAGGAAAAAGGAGTTAAAGAGTCTGAATTAGGATAATGTCTTATTGAGGATTATCCGATTATCCGGACATTTATCTGAATTTTGCCCTCCCTTACCTTTCGGGACATCACACATAAGCGGGTTAACAATTAAAAAAAAAAATTAAAAAAAAAAAACCCTGTGGTGTTAATAACCGCGACACGCCCTTCCACACCACAGGAACACAAAACAAAACAAAAACTCCTGTGTGTTAGTGTTAGTGCTGGGCAGCTAGGTTCCCGATTGTTGAAAACTAGGAATCGTAGGAATCGACTCCGAATCCAGTTAATTACTTTCTAATGATGTGATTTCTTCCGGTGGTTACTTAATTGGCTCCAAACATCTCCAGGATTTAGGATAACCTTGATTTCGGAACACTACAAAGTATCAATTTTTATTTTTCAAAAGTAAATTCTTTAAAAAAGAAGAAGATCCTTTGGTATTCATAAAAAGGAGGCCATACTTTTCTTCCGTAGCATTAATCGTGGTAAGCGGTTCCGGAATCGATTCGTCGCCCAGCTCTACTGTGCGTGATGACGAACAACTGTTCTCACTCGATGAGAACAGAGAAGAGATCCCCTGGGTGGACATTATAGTGGACATTTGTGCTTACACCCCAGACGCACAAAAAGTATATATATATATATAACCAGGAGTTTGGAAATAAGCCTTGAGTCAACTTTCATTTACCCCCCCAAAAAACCCCCAGACAAAATGATAGTTTTAGAACGGGGATTCTGTGTGTGTGTGTGTGTGTGTGTGTGTGTGTGTGTGTGTGTGTGTGTGTGTGTGTGTGTGTGTACACTACATATTATAAAAAAGAAATAGAACTTTAAAAAGTGGGAGGGA